AGACGCATTAGTCACGTGGTTCCTTTAATAGTGAAATGCCTTAATGGGCGAAAGTATCAGACTCACGTTGCTCAGTGCAAGCCTCGCGACATGTGGATCAAGGCCCGTGTTGAAAGGGTGACATGTTGCAATGGGGCAGATGAAGTCGGCGGTTTGCACACTCAAGTCTGGTCTTAAAGTTTTCTGACGGTTCTAGCAGCAAAATGTGCCGCACGTGATCCAGCACTGCCCAGCTTAAACATTACAGCACTCATAAGGCTTAACGTTATCAGCAGCTTACCGTGTGACGATAATGTGATTTTTCTGGCTTTCGCCAGGCCCCGATGTGGAGAGACATTCCGGGTAATTCTGCCTGACAGCGACATCTAGCGCCACCAAGCGGAGGGAATCACCTTACAGCGTTTGACGTCAGCGCGAGCCGATGACCGATGAGCCAATAAAAGAATGCACCTAGGATTATACACCGCGCCGCTGAGGGGAGCGCGAGCGTGACAACGGGCTGGTCGGGAGTGGAAGACAACGCGCGCACTGCTGAGCGTTTCGATGTCATCCTAATGGAGTGCCCGGCGGGCCGCTGGCAGGCTCTCTCTCCCTCCCACTCCCTCTCCCTCCCACCGCCCCGTCTGGCAGGCGCGCCGGGACCGCCGGCGGCGATTAGGGGCAGCGCACCGCGGTCCGCGGCGTTCGTGGCGCGGCGCGTCTCCGGCGGCGACCGACAGCGCCTGACATTGCGTGCGTCACGCGCGGGTGCGGGTCCGACCCCGAGGTCCGGCTCCGTCAGAGTCTCTGGTTGGTGCGGCTTTGCATGACGAGCTGTTGACTGCGGGGCAGAGGATGCCCTCTGTCCTGTGTGTGTCTGCACGTGCGAGTCGATGGCTCGCTCGAAGGTTTAATTAGTCGAGTTATAGTATCGAGTGCGCGGCTGATTTATGGCGCTGGCCGGAGCTAACATCAAATTATCGGAAGTCGAAGTCAGCCAGTTTACTTGAAGTTATAAAACATTTGATCCCATCGTAATTCGAATCGCGTTACTTGTCACCATCTAAGTTTTCACTGAACGCCGTAGTATTTGGCCGCTGCGGTTTTGTTGCCTCGGAAATACACCTTCGCTTAGCTGGTCGATTCTAACACATTTACGGCCATTCGGAAGCTCTCCTTAATTCCCATCCAGTATTTGATGTCCATCTTTTAAAGAACGGAATCAAGTGTGCAAATAAGAAGATCGCACGGAATTTTTACATTTGTGTCACTGCAAATTGCTTTGATGGCATGACGACACTGATAATTTGATGGAGTTTGTGCTAATCCGGCTGCTGCAAGCTAGTAAAGTCTGCTAGTCCAACATTAAGTCCCACTGGTCGGGTTATTTCGGTCCCACCTGCGGCTGGAACTATGGGTGGTTGCTAGGGCCGGAAGCTGCTCGTTTTCCTCGCGGAACATTTTGCCAGCCCTCCTAAGATACCCGCAGGTTGCGACAAACAAAGGCGCCTTTGTTCTATGTGTCGCGCGCGGCGCCGTCCGCCCGTGCGCTTTCCTTGTAGGCTGTTGTTGACAGAGGAGCAGCAGGTCAGCTGTTTGGGAACTCTTGCTGACCTGTTCAGACGTGTTTGTCTGAGGGCGTTAGCTGTTCGAAAACAGCTAGCTTGTGCTTTGTTTTTCGTAAAATGAACGAAAGATTCTCATTCCAAGCACAGTTTTTGAACCCAGCAAGTCATAAGCACCGGAAATAGGAGTTTACCACCGCTGCATTGGGTCTTGAGGGTTAACTCTGTAGGTCAGGAAGTCCTGATGCTGAAAGCATCACCGTGTGTTTTCTTTCTCGTATGGGGCTTGTGTTGTGTCGTTAGACGGACGCTCGCGGGATTATTACAGGCGGGAGAAGATTTTTGGAAAAACAACCGACAATTGAATGCAATTTGCCCAAAACTTGCTTCAAAGTTAACTTAGATTTTACGGAAGACCCGACTCCTTCAATGGGAAGCTTCAGGAGGTACGTGAAGATAGCCTGAGTTGGGATGAATGTAACTGTTCTGGTCGTGGGTAGAACTTTCTTTCCATCAGGGACTCAGGTCCCCCCGCCCTTCCTCTCCCCGTCCGCCCCTTTCCATCGCTAGGGTTCTGCACCTTAACATGGCGCCTATTGGTGTTATTTATAAAGAGTTGACTGAAAACGCCACTTAATCAAGAGCCAATGGTTACATTTTGTTTTGTGTTTTACTATGAACGTAAATTGGCCAAGCAACGAACGTTCGCAGACCATCAATTGCAGAATTCAACCATTGGCTTAGAAAAAAACATTCTTTACTTAACAGCAATATCGACAGTAACAGAATACCCTCCGACATTTCGAAGCTAAATCCTATTGATTAAACTCAATCAAGACCCCCATGATTTTGGAAAGGCACCAGTTATGTTTCCGTTGCAGGCGTTCTGATGGTTGTGCCGAAAATAAACATAAGTTAATGTGGACATGAGTACTGATGTCTACCAGCCATTTCTAGAGACTGTCGTTCTGCTTAAGGGGCATAGATATGGTACGCTGATAATGTCTGTAATTATTTCCTGACCGGCGACTAAGAGAGCGCCTAAGCGATAATAATTAGTTGTAACCACTGTGATCTCACCGCGTTGATGCTTTCACATAAGGTGCGTTGTAAATCTGCGTTCCAGTTGTAAACTTGCACCAGGATAAGAAAGACTCCTCCGTTTCTGCTTCTTTCCACGACAAGCACAGAGCGCAGCTGGCCTCTATTATCATACCAAGGGAGAAAATGCCGCAACAGTTGGCCCTCCCCTCGCACCAGGCGGCGGATCCCTGGCCACAAGGGCTCTCGCTCCACTGGCCTGCGGACCCAACACTCCGGTGGGAGCAATATGAAGTCGAGCCATAACGTATGGAAGGTGGCTGGGTCAGGAGGCGCGTTCGGCCGCCGCCGGGCGACGCGTTCTGTGAGCCGCTCGGCGCGGGCCGCCCCAGATTGCTCTGGATCGGCCGCCCAAGGTCGCGGGGTCGACCGGCGGCGCAGTGCCTTGATGTCCCGCTTAGTGGACGTCATAAAGTTATGAGAGAGTGAGGCAAACCAACTCGGCCAATAAACCGCTCCCATCCTGCGGCTCGCCGGCGGTCAGCCTCCCGTTACGGCCGCCTGCTCCGCGCGTGAATCGCCACTTGGTTAGCCGTGCAAACGGCTCCTTTCTTCGGCGTCGGCACGGCACACGAGCTGAGGAGCAGTGGCTGCCTCAGCGCCCGGGCTGACCCCGCGGGAAGACCTGAAGCCTGCCACACGTCCGGCACCTCTCCAGCGCCCAGCCGTGGCAATCCGATGTCAAAGGGAGCAAACACTTACCTGATCGATGCAGTGGCGTTTGTTCAGGCCGCGGGCAGCCGGCCACGGTGGCCACCCAATCAAGCTCTGGTCAGTCTCGGCCGTCTGAGAGGTGGACTGTGGTCGAGTGCTGACGCCTGGGGCCAGGGTGGGGTCGAACTGGGGGCAGAGCTGGGATCCGACCTGGAGAAGGGCTGGCGATTGATCTGGGGCAGGGCTGGGTCCAACCTGGGTGCAGAGCTGGGGACCAGTTCCCGTGCGAGGGCGAAGAAGGCGACGGCTGCTTGCTTTCCCGATGCCGTGCGTTTCCCTCTTGTACGCGCTGCCTCGTGTTTGTTACGAAAGTCGTTGGCGGATGGCGATTTTTGCGGGCAGTATGCGGCCCGCAAAATGATCTCGTCCTAAATGGCAGCAAGAAGGTTCTAATTATTATCGACTGAACATATATACTCTGTCAGAACTGCGTTGAATGTGGCTCGCGTTAGGAGCACAGCGAGCTCGCCTGAGCTAGTAAGCTCAGGAGCCATGCCATAGAACGCTGCAACTGCTCTGCCCAAGTCACCGAGCGTGTTCAGTGCTCCGGCAAAATGGGAGCACATCGCCGCGCGGGATATGTTGCAACATGCCTGATGCGTCGGCTCCTGATGATGCAACATGCCTGATGCGTCGGCTCCTGACGATGCAACATGCCTGATGTGTCGGCTTCTGATGATGCAAAATGCCTGCTGTGTCGGCTCCTGATGATGCAACATGCCTGCTGTGTCGGCTCCTGATGATGCAACATGCCTGCTGTGTCGGCTCCTGATGATGCACCATGCCTGCTATGTCGGCTCCTGATGATGCAACATGACTGATGTGTCGGCGCCTGATGATGCAACATGACTGATGCATCAGCTTCTGATGAGGCAATATGACTGATGCGTCGGCACCTGATGATGCAACATGCCTGACGCGTCGGCTCCTGATGATGCAACATCCCTGATGCGTCGGCTCCTGACGATGCAACATGCCTGACGCGTCGGCTCCCGTCTGAATAACCCACGCACTTCGTCACTTGTCTGATGCCCTAATTTCTATACGCGTGCAGGAAGGCCGTTAACAACGATACGCGTAACAGTGCCCACAGTATTACCTGCGTTTGGAACAGGATGCTCATTGCGATCTGTAGAGATATGCAACTCTCGTCCAGACTCCGTCTGAGGATGTGCTTTACAGACATAGGCCTTGGGATAGGGTGTGCTCAGTGTCCTAGTGACGCCTCCGCACGGAGCACTGCCTGGGCCCTCCAGTGTGACCTTTCTGTGACTTTTCAGTGTGACTGCTTCGGTGACCTTCCAGTGTGACCGCTTTGGTGACCTTTCAGTGGGACGGCTTCTGTGACGTTTCAGTGTGGCCGCTATGGTGACCTTTTAGTGTGACCGCTTCTGTGGCCTTCCAGTGTGACCGCTTCGGTGACCTTCCAGTGGTACGGCTTCTGTGACGTTTCAGTGTGACCGCTTTGGTGACCTTTCAGTGTGACCGTTTCGGTGACCTTCCAGTGTGACCGCTCCTGTGCCCTTCCAGTGTGACCGCTTTGGTGACCTTTCAGTCTGACTGCTTCGGTGACCTTTCAGTGTGACCGCGTCTGTGACCTTTCAGTGTGACCGTTTTTGTGACACTGCCACGGTTTCTCAGGCCTACTGGTGTGTATATTTGAACTCAGCTCTCAATCCGGTCATATACGGCGCCCGAAGCTCGTCGTTTCGGCAGAGCTACAAGGATATACTCCTCGGAACAAAACGAATGAAGATCTCCACCCTTGGTAAGTACATCGTTCTGGCTAGCTATGCTCTTTTCATCTCGTTTCCACTTTGTGATTTCTTTCGACAGAAATTTCATACAAGCAACAAACGTGGGTTTAACCGGTGCGCACTTTTGGTGATGTGTGAAGGTACAATTATCTGGTCCAGACCGAGTTGGCCAGCTTGCACGTTACGGAAAAGTAAGAATAGTCACTAAAAACAATGTCACGCCACAAAATGCTTTAACTGGTGTCGCCGAAAAGGGAAGTAGACACTGAGTAGCTTAAGCGTTATGTCGTGGGTGTTCATAAAAACTGGTCTAATTCTGCCTACTTACCGACCGATTAATTGGTTTCTGTTCTGCGTGCTGCATTAAGTGCTGCGGTCTGTCTGCTCCGGTGATGCCCTTGTGAAATGTTACGAGAACATAACGGCGAACAGTCGAATTATCATTCAGCCACACGGTTATCTTAGGACGAGCACGTGGCACGTCTGCACGCGGCGGCATCCCTCAAGCAGCCGCCGCAGGCGCGGAGGGTGGCTCCGTTTACCAGGCCCGGGGCCTGCTGGGCTGCCACCCGCCGACCAAATAAACCCGGCTCGTGTGAGGCTGCTGCTGCAGACAGCTCACCTGCCGCCGACGACGATTCCTGGGCTCGGGCCTAAGCATTCTCATCGGCTCTCTCGGTCGTCCGCCCGGAAATAGCGCCAGGTGTGCCGGCGGCCGGTGTTGTGCGGTCGTTGCCACGCTGCCATCGCAGCCATCGCGCCATTGCGTGCAGCCATCGCGATGAAGTTAAGAGTCGCCGAGAAATTCCAAAGAGGGCCTTTAATTATTGAGATTGGTCATCAGAAGCTGTCGCTGTATATCTGTCCGGGCTAGCTGACTTTGACTTGCACGCCTTGAAACATGCAATTAGACCGGGGCCCTGCATAAACTTCCGTTAACTGCTCCAGCCAGATCTCCCCCCCCCCCCCCCACCGCCTTTCACGTGCCGCCTCATTGCGTGATGGCGCGGTGTGCGTGGCGTGACTCGCGTGCGGCGCGACGACCAGCGTGCCGGCGAGGGTGGTCTCGGGGTGTCGGCACCGTTCGTGGGACAACGCCGTCGCACCCGAAATGCCAGCCACGGGACTGTCTCGGGGCTTTCGGACGTAATTTGGTTCGCAGAAGCTGACAGCTGGCCGTGGATCCAGGCCGTGGGTCGAGTTAGAGGGAGCGCCGCACAGCTCGAAAGCGGCGGTCAGCGAAAGCATGCTATAATTCTAACAAAAAAGCATTTTGCTAAACCAAGTTGCAAAAATTGCTCCGTATGTTTCCGATACCTGTCGCATCTCTCCTGTCAGAGGCCTTCGTTTTGCGCTCTAGTAACTCTTCCTAGTTTTTGCATGATGACAGGCTCAACACATGTTTTATATCATACCATCAACGATACGTGATACAGCAAAACACTGATGGCCGAATACAGGTCGCAAAAATGGCATTGTTTCAGTCTGCTTGAAGCCGTTGAGATTGCAGGCTGCGTTTTGCAACCATAATTATCTTTTCGTTCCAGAAAAATAAAAATTGCCGATTCGTTTTCCTTGTGTAAAATTGTTCAGTTACGAAACTGCACGGGAGTGCTTTGTTAGCTCCGATGCATCTGACCTGCAAGCCTGAGTGAAAACTGTGAATTTTTACCCGGTAGGTTGCTCACAACGCTGAGACAGCACACTCCACAATTTCCAGCCGCTTGCAGGCACGTTGACGGCGTGATGCCTGTTGTGTGTTCCCGTGCTGGGACGCTGCCCACCGAGAGGGCGCCAACCCTGCCACGATTCTCACACACAGCTTCGGAGAGCAGCGACTGCCCTGTCGCCCGCGACACCAGCGGCCGGGCGATAAATCCGACACCGGCTGCCGGCTATGAAGTCCTCCCGGCAATGTAAACTACCGTGACTAACGGCGGGCCTGGAAGGCGCCCCCCCCCCCCCTCGTGCTGCCGCCAGCCGCCTTGTGACTCGCTCCCCGGTCTGTCCGCAGGGAGTATGCGGAGCGTGGGCAGCACCCGCCTGTACAGCCACCGCGTCAGCCTGCCGGCCAACTCGCCCTGTGAGTGACACCGCGCACTGACACTTGTAACACGCCTGGCACTCGTGTGACACGCCGCCATCGGCCACAAGAGCGGTCGAATGGGCGCCGCGTCGCTCGGAAGTCGCGCTGGCATTAAGTGACTGAAAGGTCACGTGACACAGCATCAGCTGTTCGATGAGCGAATCACCGAGCTGTGCGGCTGATATATATTCTGTGCGGATATGAGCCGTAGTTTGGCGGGCGGCCCTCCTGATTACGTTGCCCATCTGGTCGTGCAGTCCGTCACGCCCCGCCGCTATCTTGACAGCTAGAGTTAATCGCACTTGGGAACGGCATTGACAAATGGGAGCCCGGTCCTCCCTTCTCTCTCTCTCTCTTTCTCTCTCTCTCTCTCTCTCTTCTCTCTCTCTCTCTACTCTCTCTCTCTTCTCTCTCTCTCTCTCTCTCTCTCTCTCTCTCTCTCTCTCTCTCTCTCTCTCTCTCTCTCTCTTCTCTCTCTCTCTCTCTCTCTCTCTCTCTCTCTCTCTCTCTCTCCTCTCTCTCTCTCTCTCTCTCTCTCTCTCTCTCTCTCCTCTCTCTCTCTCTTCAGTCTCTCTCTCTCTCTCTCTCTCTCTCTCTCTCTCTCTCTCTCTCTCTCTCTCTCTCTCTCTCTCTCTCTCTCTCTCTCTCTCTCTCTCTCTCTCTCTCTCCCTCTCTCTTTCTCTTTCTCTCACTCTCACTCGTCATTTTCGGCCACTCTAAGTGGTGTTCAGTTTCTCAAAGCTTCATTTTCTTCCTGGCACGCACGCTCTGACTCGACCCTGCGACGCCTCCACGTCGACGTGTGAATCTGCAGCTGTTGCCCCTGCGCAGATGCGTTGTAGCAGTTCGTCACGGAACAGTCATTAACTGGGACCTTGGAGCTGGATGAAAGGAGGTGGTGACGTCGTGTAATCGTGTAATGTAATGTTATCACCGGAGGACGCTTGTTGCCGCCTGCCGTTACAGAACACATCGCAGCCACTGCCAGCAATCAGACATGCCAAAGCTAATCTTCGCGATTCCTGAAAAAAACGGTAGCCATAGTGGATCAGCAGACTCGCCGATTATGAACAACAGACACGGCTGCAGGGACAACATTTTTTTGGAGCAGGAGATAGCCCCCTGAACACCTTCAACGCAAGTTAACGTAATCTATCATCCGCTGCAGTTGGGTAAGAACTGCGTTCTTACCCCTAAGAACTGCGTTCTCCTCTGCCAATGCAACGCAATGAACCGTCGACTATTGCGTCCGCTTTGGGACTTTTGTGTCACTCCGTACACTCTCGTTGAAGGTGGCCTGAACAGCGACACAGTTCCCTCGTATCGGTGACGGATCGGTTGCATTTTTCCGCCATGTGTGTTCCTTTTGCCCAATCCACAGCAATCCGCAATAGATCACCGTTTAAGTCAACATCGGATCAACGATTGTTGACACTAACATGAGTGCGCGCCTTTGGCATGTGTGCTGGTGCCATGTGACTAACGCTTTTGCTTGCTTCCTGGCAACACCAGACACTGTGGAAACAAAGGCACTCGATGACACCCGAATTTGAGGTAAGTGGAAATCCTTGTCCTCGTCTGAGATGCATTTTCGCTTGCGTCCCCCGCGACGTGGCCTGATGCCCCAAATTTTATAAATGGGCGCGCTCACACCTTAAAAGTCATTTGATCCTGAAGAAATGAAGGTTAAAGAGTCTACGCATATTGACCGGGAAATACTTCTGCGGGGCTCCCGACGCAAGGAAATGAATCATACTTCGCGGCGGGCGTCACCAGCGTGACTTTGTTGCCGACGGTGCCGACCCGTCGCTCGCGGGGCACAGCGCGCCAAAGCAACGAGCCGCCTACGCGCAGGCGGCGGCCCGCCGGCGGCGAACCGGGCAGCCGACGGCCGTATCGCGCCCTGGGACCGCCGGTGAGGTCCCAGGACCGCAGTCCCGGGCTGAGGAAGCCACGCAGACAGGCCAGGCGCGTCGGGCGGGCGGGAAGCAGCAGCGGGAGGGCGCGGCCCGGGGGAGGCCGCCATCGGAGCTGGCCAATAGCCAGGCGGCTGGGGCCGGGGGTGGCGCTAAGGCTGGGGCTTAGGCTGGGGCAGACTGTGGCTGGAGCTGGAGCTGGAGCTTAACGTCCCCGGTCCTCAGCGCCACCAGACATCGAGCACTTCGCGGTGACGAATTGGCCGTTCTAACCAGGCGCCGTTTGGCGTTTGGGCTCGCGTGAGGAAGAATCGTTTCGAAATCGGTCGACACACGTGCAGTTGCTGTAAAGCGTTTTGCAGCAGTGCAATAGCCCAGGGTTGTTATGAAACGCATAATCTTGTTCTCGCTATGAAAGGAATTTGAAGTTATCGTGGCTTGGCTTGACATATCCTAACCGACGATCTTGATTTTGGAAACGGAAATATGAGAGGGCTGCACTCCTGTCTTGGAGCTTAGGAAATAAGCGTCCCACCAAACAAATGTTTCTTGATTCCACACCCCCTATCCCCCCCCCCCCTCAGAAAAAGAGTGCACGGAATGCCGTGACTGCGCTGTTGTAAAGAAGGCATCAATTCGCTTTCTGCCAAGAGCTTCACTTTAATGGGAACCTTGCAAATACGTCATGAAGCTCAAGCTACTGAATGGCATAGCGATGATGCAAGGGCGTTTGAACTGTCAGCACATCGGTAAATTCCAAAAATCATCCCACACGAACTTTGGCAACATGATCCTCTTGAGAGGCGTAAGCACACAGTGCTCTCTCGAGGCGCGTATGCCCTCTCCCCTCATGCCAGGTATATGGCATGTATTAAGATGTCTCGGAATGAATGTCGGCAGCCCAAAATTCCAGAAAGACACTTGAAAATAAGGAGATAGAGACCGAACAAAGTTGTGTGAAGACACGCCACCACCGGCGCTGAACCTAGTTTTCAAGTAAAAAAGCCTGTTTGGCTTGTTGCAGATGCTGCGACATTAAACCGGCATTCAGCTCGCCGTTTGGCCTGCGTTCTTATCGGCATTCAGCTTGCTGTCTGGCCTACGCTCTTACCGGCATTCAGCTCCGTGCCTGGCCAGCACTGGTGCTGAGATACACAATCGAAGGTGATCATGCTGCCGCCAGCAACGTGCGTTCCCGATGGTGTACAGCTCGAGAGAGATACTGTATGTTTCTACCTTTAGTGCCTGGGATCGGGTGAAGGCCGTTTTTGTGTCCGTGCTTCGTGTCTTAGTCTTGCGCTAACAATCGGTTAAGTTCCGCGCACGTGACCGCCTCGCCCCACATCTCGCAGCTGCGCGGATCGATCTCTGCGCCTACTCCGTCCTCGAGCCACATTGGTGCGGACAGATCGCGTTGCGTTCACTGTTATCCGGTACAGAGATTGCCTTTCGCCAGCGCCGATGTCGTTGAGTCACGGCGCGCTCTGGGCACAAAGACGACACCGACAGAGAACGTGGCGCTCCGAACCCCGTCCGCAGTTTGACCCGTTCGCTGACGGTGGCTTCTCGGTTTCCAGTTCGTCAGATGTCCGGTTTCCTGACGCCGGCCCCGGCACAGCTCTCGCGCTGACAGGCGGGCGTGCTGCGGAGCACCGGCGCGCCTGCCCCAGGCCAGCTCAGAAGCCACAGCCATCAACGCGCCGACAACATGACGCCATCAGTTGGTCGCAATCTGATGCCACTTGGTTTGCGGCACGTGGATGGCTTTGTAGTTCACAGTATATTATGTAAAAGGTGTTGCTTGGCCATAATGTAAACGCTTGCGAGCGTTTCTCCGCAGTAATGTTTTAGATGTTGGTTGTTTAGTGTGCGTGTACAGTTTGTAAAAAACGATGAAAATACAGTCTACATCCCTTACTTCAGTATCACTGCCTGGTTTCCGTGTCGCTTTTGACGTGTTGGTATTGTTGCGGCTGCAGTGTCCATAAGAAATCCCAATGTTGTGGTGGATGGCGAGATTTCGCGCCCGTTCATATCCCGCGGCACGTTAAGTGAAGCGTTAGCATCTTCATGTGTGTCACGTCTGCTGTACTCTTAAGTCATCTGAGCGCTGCTAGTCATCGATCTCAGCTCGCTGCTTGAGTCGAAATGTCGTGCCAGAGCGGATTTATGTTGTGCTAGGTGTCAGCCTGTCAGCCAGGGTTGGGCGCCAACTGCATCGGTGTAGTCTCATTGACCTTAAGATTTTCTCATGCAGAATCACGAAGATCTTACCTGGAGGGTACATCTAGGACTGTTGTTATCAATGACGTCATAAGTCGTTAGGTGGTCAACGCCAAGCGTACCAGCAGATGGCCATTTCCCATATGTCACCCCTGTGGATTGCTAATAAAATTCCAGCTCGCACGTTCGCGTCGCTTTGGTCGTTGCGCGAGACATCCCAGGGAACATAAAGTTTTTTATTTATTTCGCTACGAATTCAACTCAAAGCGGCAGCCCCTCAAAAGACCACTTTCACGAGTGTCCACGTCCTTATAGTAATCACTCCAGTGTTTCCTCTCCACGGTCCACTAGGCATGCCTGCAGCAGGCTCCATTGAAGTATAGTGCTCAGCTGAGGTGTCACCTCTTGCTCACTCGTCGTGGCCTGAACGATGTCCACGGCACTCTGCACGGGGTAAAAAAGCGCACAAAGACAGCGAGGGTTTTAGCAGAACCGCGCATCAACTCAAGTCGCCAAGCGGACCAGATATGTAAATATGGATTTAAATAGATATGTATATACATGCATATTCATTCACTTATTTATTTATTTATTTATTATGTAACTTAAAAATAGGTTTCCTGGAAAATGGTTCGCCGTTTTTTATGTGGAGTGGTCGTGATATTCTCCGCGCCCGATCCATCTGAGTCATGCCTTGGGGTACGTAAAGCTGGCTGCACGCGCAAACCATCCCACACACATCCATGAATTGATACGAAGACGGCTGCTAAGGAAGTGAGAATGGTCTCCACAGTAACCTACGAGCGTAGGAACAGAAATGATGCACAGTTTAGTGACAACAGGGTCGTGCGTCCAGAGACGAGAGGAACAACTGGAGCGTGTCATGGCCGAGAGGTCTAAAGCTGCGCTGGCAAGGACGCTAACACGTCGGATACATATGTCGTGTACAATGTCGCAAACAGGGTTGTAGTTTCCTATTCACTTGGTGAGGGGGCTTCTGCCCCCACCCCTCGCAACTTTGTGAAGAAAGTTTGCCAAAATTGGGGAAAACCTGCTTGCTGGCATATAGGTAGGTTGGGTAATTTTTCATTGTCCATTCTCCCCTTACCTTGTCCTTTGAAACTACGCCCCTGGCCGCAAACCTCCAGAAGTTTTTCTGTCTAAATGAAGGTTTTTCAAGTATGGAGTTCTTACGGTGGCAATAATCGTCCTTCAGTATAATAGGAGACGCTGGTTAACACGCGCTCGGGTGGGGGGTTCAAATTGCCTCCCGAAGGTTTTTCCAAAATAGTTTCTGAACGGCGCGGCGTAGCCGCGCCAAATTTTGCATAGCTGTAGACAATTGAATAGTAGATCGTTTGACCTAAAAATTTAGATGTACCTTGTAAGGTCGCTGACCTATGGCAGGTCAAAGTCAAGGCCGTGGTTTCAGCGAAGGCAATTTCTAGGGAATCGTTCAATCTGATGCAACAACGGAGTGTTTGACGAAGCCATAGATCTCTGAGATGTTTTCTTAGTCAACACAAATATTGAATGTGGAAATTCCGTTGACCTAAGGTTAGGTATGAAGGTAAGACCAGGGTCAAAACCAACCTAATTTATTACTCTAGGACTTGCTGTATGGGATAGTTTCTGGTGCTCATTTCGAATTTATTAACAACAGGAACCGCGTTATACATATTCCATTGATTTCTTAGAGCTCAGAGCAGGTCATTAACCTAAGATGACCCGGGTTGACATTTTGTTTTCAGGGACACACTGCCTAGCGTAATCTTTGTCGCTTATTCAAATGCAAAACTCAGAGCAGTCTTGTATGATTTTGGTCATCATGGCCTTCAACAGGTCAAAAAAGGTTCACTGACCTCAAATGGGCTTGCAACCTTTTGCTTAGAAACAATTGCCCAGGTTCTGGGGGCACTTCGAGGACCAACCTGGAATTTGACCTTGTTTGACCTCATTTGACCTGAAGGTTATAACCTAGAAAGCTCAAACTTTGACCTAAGTGAGTTCACGTACACATCAGGACACCCTGTAAATTTGGTGTCTCTAGCTTTTTTAGTTCCCGAGATTTCCGGGGCGTCAAATTGACCCCCACTGACCCCGCCTCCCCCCCCCCCCCTGTCACCGATTTTGATATTCAAGCTGTAATTATGTTCACGAGTGCCCGGCCCCCATGAGACCAACATGGTCAGAAGTGGAGGGACCAGCACGAGGCCACCATGGTCCCGAGTGCTCTCTTCGAACATTGCCAACATTGAAACTTCAAAGTCCAAACTCTTGCTTATAGTAGGATGTTGCGCATGGTTAAATACTGAAGTTTTTCCACAATTTACAGCGCACCTAAATTACAGCTTGTCATACAACAAAATAGTACTTCGGAGATCTGCTCAGTGGCGATATATATGCATATATATATATATATATATATATATATATATATATATATATATATATATATATACATGCAAGGCTTTAAGCTTTGCCAGACGATTTTCAAACCATGAACATTCGATTCACGTGCACATCTGCGTGAATATGACCCATTCTGCGACAAATCTGCAAGTAAAAAGACCGAAATTTCACCTTAAATTCCAGTTAACGATGAAAATGTCTTCTGACATCTTCCGCCTTAAGTACAACTATGTCACTTTTAGAAATCCCGAAGCAACGGTCAATGAGTTACAGACTTGACTACTTCCGAGAGGTTGCCAGGCGAGGCTGTCTGGAGCTCTGTAACTCAATGTAGAATTTGAAAATGGCATGAGCCATGCGAGCCGCATCAATTCGGGCCAGTTTACAAGTTTCTTGGTTTTAAAAACTGAATGGATGCGATAATGAGCTCGACATGAAAACATTTGGCGCGAAAGAACTGCACGAGCCTCTGTTAAGCCGTCCACGAGTTAGCAGTCGCGAAGTCGGGAGGCCACCCTGGCCTTGATATTTAGTGCTTTTGCCTGCATATTACCCATGAACAAGGGAAGAGGAACGCCCACCCCGCTCCGCCGCAGAAAGTAGAACCGTACGTAAACACATAAGTTAGGAACTGAATAATGCGATACCGACGCACTGTGCTAAAAATATGGCAGCTGCCAAACAAACAAGGCAAGAATACCGCAGGGTGATTGGCATCCTCTAGGTTAGTGTTGGCGACCTTTGAGTCACAAAATAAACTATCTTTCATTAAAAAGGAAGGGAAAGAGTAATCGGTGTAATCAGCGTAATGTATGACGACTGACAGAGGACGTCAACACCAACACACACACACCAAGCCAATGTTGCAAGACTACTGCGGTCCAACGTGCTTCAGAGCGTTGCGGACCAACTGGGTCTGGTCATGCGCGTGCCGACATGCCTGCAAAAAGAAAGCTGAGCAGACCTGGTCTTTGCCGGGTAACAAGGTGACGGCGTAGCCAATTAGCGGCGATCGTGGCTGGGCTGCGTGCAAGCTGGAATCTGCTTTAGATGCCACGCATGCATGCACATGTGCACACATTCCCCGTCGACACATGGCATGCATGCACAGGCATTCATACACGACACATGTCGTGCTCGGGCTTCTGTTGTGTAGGTTTTACGGTCTGTTTCGTTTTATTTTATCTATGTTTTGAGCCTACCGGTTACAGTGTTTTATCTACGCTGTGGCGCAGCTCCCACCCGGTGCTGGCGGGGACTGCCGCAGTCCCACAGACTCCACCCGTGGAGAGGCCGCAGACCGTGGGCTGACCGAGCGCCACAGGTGATCGGTACTCGGGTGGGCGGCCCGACGGTCAGGCCGTGTCGCCTGGTCAGCTATGACTCCGCGTGCTCCGGTGATAGGCGGTATGCATGATATGGGACAAAGGATGCATAAGGTGCCGGGTGATGGTGGTTGATGGAAACGTGATTAAATGCCGACATGTTGAGGAAGAATAACCCCAAAGATTATTTGCATTGCTTGGACGAAGGCACCATTCTAAATTATAACGGGCTATTTCGCACGTGATGCTGTTTCATAACCGTGGTGCCGATCTTCACACAGTAAGTGCGCGATATGCATAGCGTAGTCGTAAATGCACCAATTATGTTGTGGATGTCTCAAGTGATTTGACACTCGTTCGCGTCAATTGAGGCCTCTTCTGAAGCAGAAAATGCCACATGGCCGACCATAAACGACTGAAGATTTGGTTGCAAAGGTGCGCTAACGTTTTTAGTGTCGTTGAAGAGTGCGAATAGCTACATCTACCATCCATAATTTTCAGCGCACGTCTTGAGAGGACTTCAACCTTCCGCAAATTCATGGGAAATGTCTTCTCCAAATATGGTTATTATTGAAATACGTAAAGTTCATACTTCACTAGCCACTTTTTTAGGCTGACTGTTGACTGAATACTGAGTTTTATTCGATGCAAGACTGTTACAGCTTAATACAGTGCATGCATAGTCGGTAGTGGTTATCATTCCATGTCAGAGTCATTATGCATTACAAGACATTTCATTGCGTCAGTGTGCTGAATGGATGCGTCATCAAGTAGAAATTGAAGTCCTACGTTTCTTCGAGATATGTTATACAGTTGCTTATAAGATAATACACGTTTACAGAAATTGTATTGGGCCTACACACCCAGACAGCTGTAGCAGCACAGCGTCAACATTTAGCTGCAATTCTATCCTCTTAATTGTGTCAAGGATGTGGGATCATCAGTAAAGAGGTAGCAGATTTGGCACCTCAACCTGAAAAGTACATCACAAAAACTCACTGGTTACTGAATGGATGTACATGTGGGTATGCACCTAAGAGTGTCTGGCAGCCAACATTTGTCCTGTTTGCCGAGTTCGCGTCATCAGCCAAACAGGTCGCGAACTTTATCGCCAAAAATAAGCCGCAAAGCTGCAACCTGCTGCTACCGCCCGAGCTGCCGTTCACCGGGCAGATATAGATGACAATTGTCATGTCACCGTGCAGACATAGATGATAATTGTTATATTACTGAGGTAAAAAGTTGTACATTGATTACAGCCGGGAGGCGCTGTCTGCGAATAATCATTGAAATAACGGTAGACGAACGCATATACCTAAATCATTTTAAATAGTCGTCGGCCTTTGGTTCTCTACATAAACAGAAGGCCTGTTCGCAAGTCGAACATAGCCTGGGATCGCCAGTTTATCAATTGACT